GCGCTGGCACCTGTCGTGCCGGCGCAACCTGGGCGTCCTCGGCAACGAAGCTGAACACCCGTTCAGGCACGCACACGGCCACACAGCCGCATGGTGCCAAAGAGGAGCGAAGCGGGGAGGGAGGGCAACCCTGGTCTTGAACCAAGTGGCTACAGACTTAAAGAACATGCCCCTGCCCCTGCACCGAGCCTGCAGTACTATCCTATCAAACTATACAAGTTGGATGCAGCTGCGCGTGCACAAACGAAGAGAGGAGGGGGGGAAAAGGGAGGAGGACACGAAGGAGGGACAATGACGGAGGAGGACGATGATCATTGTCCTCAACGGCAAGGCGGCGCGCGTAGCGTCTCGCAGCCCGCCGCGTTGGCACCTGTCGTGCCGGCGCAAGCCGGGCGTCCTCGCCAGCGAGGCTGGATGCCCGTTACGCACGCATGCGGCCACACAGCCAAACTCACTTAGAAGACGCGGCACGACGCAACGGACCTGCCACTGGCCTGCATCCTTGACGCCTCCCTGGGCGGGCGCCAGGCCGCCTCGGCGGGCAATCCCTCGCCATCGACACAATCCTGTCGATCGCTGCTCCCGCCATCCTTCCTCAAGGTGCCCTCGCTGGACGGCGTGAAGTAGGCGCCAAACCCGCTGACCTCAAATACCCGCGTCGGCAAGCCCGACCCCTCAGTTCCACCCCAAGTAACCTCCCACCAGACGTACTGGAGGCTCGCCCACATCACTGGGGTGGCCCCCTGGCGCGCCCATCGGCTGGACCTCATTGTCCCCGCCGCTCGCCGTCGAACTCCCGCGCGGCGTCGTTGACTCTGAGCTCGTCCCAGAGCTCCTCGCCCTGGCCCTCACAGGGTAACCTTAAAGGGTCTTTATTTTTGACGCCCCCCTGATCTGTCGGCGGCGAAGGCACCTGGTCCTACAACCTCCTCGTCGCGGCGAAAATTATTACCCCTCTACTGTGGGGCGGGCTGGGTATTCTTTGGGTTATCTCTCCGGCGGAATAATCCATTGTGTGGGCTAAACCGCACGCGGGGGGAATCGTGAGCATCTTCTCATGATAATTGCAATAGGACTTGTTTCGTAATGATTTGCGAAAGAGCTGTAACCCATTTGCCTAGCACTGCGGGCACTACTCCTGCTGGCGCCTGATCGGCGCTCGCGGCGACGTGAGATTGGTGTCGTTCTATCGTCGGGCGGGCTGGATAATATTTGGGGGTATTGCCCCAGCAGACATAATCTATTGTGGGCTACCCTGTGCGCGGAAGGATGTGTAAACATCTTCTCACGAGGATTGCAATCTGATTTGCCTCGTTTTGATTCGAGAGTTTGCTCGAAGTCGTTTGCCTAGCACTGCTAGCTGCTGGCGCAACTCCTGCTGGCGCCTGATCGGCGCGCGCGACGACGTGAGATGTGTGTCATTCTATCGTTGGGCGGGCTGGGTCGTGTTCGGGGGCTATTGCTCCAACGGGGTAATCCATTGTGCGCTACGATGCGCGCGGGAGGATTCGTGGGCATATCCTCATGAGGATTGCAATGCACATGTGCTTCATGTTGATTTGCGAGTTCGCTCAAGCTCGCCTGTCTAGCTCTGTCGGTCGAGCTCCTGCTGGCGCATGGTCGGAGCGCGGGGCGACGTGGGGTTAGTTTCCCTCTACTACTGGGCGGGCTGGATCATGTTTGGGGTTTATTTCCCCAGCGGAATAATCCCCTGCAGGCTACCCCGCACGCGGGGGGATGGATGAGCATCTTCTCATGAGGGTTGCAATCGGAAGTGCTTCGTTTTGATGTGCAAGCTTGCTCACATTCGTTTGCCTCGCACTGCTGGCAGAACTCCTGCTGGCGCCGTGTCGGCACGCCCGGCGACGCGGGATAAGTTTCCCTCTGCTGTTGGGCGGGGTGGGTAGTGTTTGGGGGGTTATTTCTCCAGCGGAATAGTCAATTGTAGGCAACCCTGCACGCGGAAAGATTCGTAAGCATCTTCTCGTGCGACAGCACGGTTTGCTCCGTTTTGATTCGCGAGTTTGCCCAAAGACGTCTGCCTAGCACTGCGGGCGAGACTCCTGCTGGCGCCTGGTCGGCGCGGGCGGCCAACATGGCGACTTTTCCAGCGCGAGCTACATCAAACCCGCCATGGTTTCGCATTGCTCACGCGACACAGGATGGATTTTCTAAGGGCCCGCACGGAGCCTGATCTTCAATAGTCCTTCTCAGGATGGAGCCTTCGGGATACAGCGCCAAGTGCCCGAGCCAAGATTTTTCATGAGAGCGCTGCTGGCGGGCGCCGCAGGAAACATACTTAGTTCCCTCTATTGCTGGGACGCCAGTCCGTCAATAAGGCTGCCGAAGCAACAATTGATTTCCCTTGCTGAAGGGTTCTAAAGACCCTTGCGGGTTACTCACCAAGTCGCCGTCGTCGTGGTCGTAGCTCCCCGCCCCGTTCGGGCCACGGACACGGGCGCGGCAGACTGCGTTCGCCCCTTCCCGTGTCCCCCGGTACCTGGAGCGCTAGGCTTAGGTCGGGTTTTAGACGAACATGGAACACATATCAAACAAATGCTCCAACCATATTTAAAACAAATGATAAATCGAAGCGTCGTCCCCCTAGTGTTTTTTTTTATTAAAAAAAAACAGTGCTTGAACATTCCTCCTGTAGAAAGACATGCCCGACTTTACGTTCGCCCCTTCCCGTGCCCGTCGTTGCCCAGAGCGCCAGGCGGTCCCCGTCTCTTCCGTTGCCTCTCCTGGCCCGGCAAGATGGGGCCGCTGGCTGGGGAGGGCCCCGCGGCCGGTCCCGGAGCGGGTGGGGCGGCTGGGTGCGCAGGTGGTCCAACGGCGTTCGGGCGTCCCCCGCTCCGCCACCGCCCCACGCTGCTCCCTGCGTGCAAGCTCCCGCTCGCCACGACGATCGTCGCCGGGGTAGCGGCATAGCCCCAAAGTGCCCTTATTCCGCCGCTGCCGGCCCGGCGCCCGCCCAGGCTCTCCGGCCGCGCGGATGAGGCTTCCAGGCCCACCGTGCCAGCCCAGGTCTTGACCCAAGTGGCCACAAACCCCACATGCATGCCCCTGCCCCGGCACCTCGCCTGCACGTCTGAACCTATACCACACTGGTATTAATTTCCTGACAGTGAGGACCTGGTGGGTGCATATGCGTGAATGGCGGGAGGTACGCTGGACAATGCCAGGAAAGGCGCCGGAAAATGCAGGGAGATGCGCCGGACAATGCCGAGCAATGCGCCGGGCGCTGGCGGGAAGCGCGCGCGGGAAGGCAGGAACCGCAGGGCAGGAGCAATGGACAATGCCAGGGCCAGCTCTTAACCTGCCAGACTGTGCATTTTCCTTCCTTTTCCAAAGCCCCCCTTTGCTCTGACGGCCCCGCGGGGAACGGAGCCCCTGGGGGCCGCAGTCTCTGCAGGACCGCGGCGTCGGAGGCCTGGGCGCTCCCGGGAAGGAAAGCCATCTGCCGACCTTCCGGCGCGCGGAGGACGCTGGCGCCGTCGTCGTCGACGCCGCCAGTCCCAAGGAAGAAACGCACGGCATAAGCGCAGGCTGGCGGAGATCAGCGTGGATTTCGCCGATCGGCGCTGGGACCCGCGCCCCCGCCAGCGCGCCCCGGGCGCCGGGGGCGGCGGCGGAGGCGCCGCCACGCCAGGGGACCGAACGCCAAGCGCCGATCCAAGGGATCCGCGCGGAGCTCCGACAGCTTATGCTTGCGCACCTGTCCCTCTTCGATGCGGGAGGAAGACCCTGACCTTCCAGAGAGCTCTTTTTGTATTTTTTTAGCACGGGAGGCCTTAAAACCAAAAAAACTAACGAAACAGCCTAAAACCAAGACGTACAATAACTCTGGGATATTAGTTTTTAAGTCGCGTGCTATTGTTTAGCCCTCCTGGAAGGTCAGTGGACGAGGAGTGAGGCGGAAACGGGGCGCCTGAGCCGCGCGCGCTCCGAGGGGGATCTCGCCGTCAAGAGCCTCAGAGCTCTTGCGCGTGTTCTCGTGGACGAGTAAGAAAAAGGGGGGAGCCCAGCGTAAAGGGGGCGGCACGTGTCTCCCCGCCAAAACAGGAAGGCGAGCGGGGTGGGCGCTCCTTTGGCGACCTCCACGCTGAAGCACGAGGAGCCCGAAGAGGGCGGCGGCGCCCTCTTCGGGCGACCCGAGGGGGAGGAGGAGGAGGAGGAGGAGGAGGAGGAGGAGGAGGAGGAGGAGGAGGAGGAGGAGGAGGCGACCCGAGAGGAGGAGGAGAGGAGAGGAGGAGTAGGAGGAGAGGAGGAGGAGGAGGATCGAGAGGAGGAGGAGGAGACGGGGGAGGTGGGGGGGGGGGGGGAGGAGAGGGGGAGGGGAGGAGAGGGGGGGGAAAGGAGGAGGAGGGGGTAAGGACGAGGAGCGGGGAGATGATGAGGATGGGCTGGGGATGGGTGCGGCCCGCGCGCGGGCGGCCCTCACCAGAGGAGGACCAACAGCAGCATGGCGACAAAGTCAGTGGCGCCCAGAGGAGGAGGAGGAGGAGGAGGAGGAGGAGGAGGAGGAGGAGGAGGAGGAGGAGGACGATGGGGAGGAGGACAACGAGAAGGTGGAGGAGTAAGGGGGAGTCTCTCAGGGGAGGACAAGACCTCCAGACCAATCGGAGGACCCCGAGGAGCAGGAGGGAGGAGAGGGGGGCGGAGGCGGGACCATCCTGGAGGTCGACGCCGCGCATCCGCAGAACGGAGGAGCGCAAGCGCACGCTCCCTCTCGACAGACAGGGGCGACTCGGACGAAGCCTCCGCAACTCCGCCAACATCCCCCTCCTTGAGGAGGAGGAGGAGGAGGAGGAGGAGGAGGAGGAGGAGGAGGAGGATCAAGATGAAGAAGGAGGGAGGCAGAAGCTGCTCGGCTCGCCCACCCCCCCACCAACCAGCCTCGAACTTATCCCTGAGATCGGCATCGAGCTCAGGCGATGCCAAGCATAGGGATAGGGATATGTTCCAGGCTGGCAGCCCACACCCCACGGCGGCGCGGCCAGGCGGAGATCTCGGACGGGCACCACGTCTGGAGCCGGTCCCCTTTTTTCTGCACGTGTGCTCGGCAGCAGCCCCGTGAGGGAAGGGGGAGAGTCGGGGGCCTCTCCTGGTGCCGCTGGCGCCGCCGCCGCTGCTGCTGCTCACCGTCCTCCTCCTGCGACAGCTACTCCTCCCTCGCATTGTCGCACTCCTCCTCGTCCTCCTCCTCCTCCTCCTCCTCCTCCTCCTCCTCTTCCTCTCCTCCTCCTCCTCCTCCTCCTCCTCCTCCTCCTCCTCCTCCTCCCTCCCCTCCCTCTCCTCCCTCTCCTCCCTCTGCTCCCTCCCCTCCCTTTCCTCCCTCTCCTCATCCTGCTCCTCCTCCTCCTCCTCCTCCTCCTCCTCCTCCTCCTCATCATCATCAGCATCATCATCCTCATCCTCATCCTCATCCTCATCCTCATCCTCTTCATCATCATCATCATCATCATCATCATCATCATCATCGTCATCATCATCATCATCATCATCATCATCATCACATCAGCATCATGCATCAGCATCAGCATCAGCATCAGCATCAGCATCAGCATCAGCATCAGCATCATCATCATCATCATCATCATCATCATCATCATCATCATCATCATCATCATCATCATTGTCGTCATCGTCGTCGTCGTCATCATCAATCTCCTCCTCTTCCTCCTCCTCCTCCTCATCATCATCTTCCTCCTCCTCCTCATCCTTCTCCTCCTCTTCCTACTCCTCCTGATCCTCCTCCTACTTTTTTCTTCCCCCTCCTCCTCTTCCCCCATCCTCCTCCTCCCCCTTCTCCAGCTCCTCCTCCTCCTCTCTTCGTCCTCCGCCTCCTCCTCCTCTTTCCCCATCCTCCTCCTCCTCCTCCTCCTCCTCCTCCTCCTCCTCCTCCTCCTCCTCCTGTTCCTCCTCCCACTCCTCCTCCGCCTCCGCCCCCCCTTCTCCTCCCTCCTCCTCTTCCTCCTCCTCCTCCTCCTGCTCTTCTCCAGCTCCTCCTCCTCTCCTCCTTCCTCCTCCTCCTGCTCTCCCTCCTCCTCCTCTCCTCCTGCTCTTCTTCTTTTTCTTCTTCCTCCTCCTCCTCTTCCTCCTCCTCCTCTTCCTCCTCCCTCCTCCTCCTCCTCCTCCTCCTCCTCCTCCATCTCCTCCAGCTCCGGCTCCTGCTGCTTGCTGCTGCTGCTGCTCCTCGTCTTACCTCTACGATTGCGTGGTTGCTACTCTTCGTAAGTAGCCTGAGTCTGCTTGTTTGTCCTTGTCCTCCTCCTCCCCCTCCTCCTCCTCCTCCTCCTCCTCCTCTCCCCACTCTCTGTGGTCAGTGAACGCTTGCTTAGGAAACAAGAAGCGCCTCCTTCCTCTCCCCCTGCTGCTCCTGCTCCCGCTGCTGCCCTTCCTCCTCCTCCTCCTCCTCCTCCTCCTCCTCCTCCTCCTCCTCCACTTCCTTCTTCACCCCCCTCTTTGTTCACCCTCCTCGTTCTCTCTCCACCCTCCGCTCCCCGTCCACCTCCCCTGTTTTCCTCGTCCGCCGCCCTTCGCCCGCCCTCATATTATCCCCATCCACCGCCACCTTCTCCTCCGCCCCTTGTTCCTCCACCGCCATCTCCTCGCCCTGCCTTCATATCCTTCCCTGCACTTCGCATTCCTTCTCTTCCTCCTCCTTCTCCTCCTCCTCGTCCTCATCCTCCTCCTCCACCTTGTCCTCCGCGTCCTAAGCAGTCCTCGCCCTCGCCGTCCTCATCCTCGTCCTCGTCCTCCTTCTTGCCATTTTCATCCCGCTACTCCATCTCCTCCCCCCTCTGACTCCTTTCTCCAAGTCTCATGCTCTTGTTGTTTCGCCATTCCTGCGACAAAGATCGAGGGCCACGCACGCAAACAAAACTAAAGAGCCATCCGCGGGGGGGACAGCTTCGAGGTCGCTGCTCCAGAGTAGCCAGCCAGCCTCCAATGGTATTTTGGGCCAGGTGCCTTCACTCTAACGAGCTGGTGAGTGAAATGAGCCTTCAATCTACACCCTCAGGGTTGCACGGGGAGGAAGATTAGGAGGCGGAGGCAAGGAGGAGGAAACAAGAGAATGAGGAACGATCCGGAACTGCTCCCGTGTGACTGCACCAAGGAGGTTCGGAGCCAAAGAAGCCAGATTGGGCGACCGTGCCTGTCGGTGGTCAGGGCAGGAGGGGGGATATGGCAGGCGAGGGGGAAGGACGGAGAGCGGGGAATGGAGGAGGCGAAGGAGGAGGATGAGGATGAGGAGGAGACAGAGAAGGAGGAGAAGGAGCAGGAAGAGCAGGAGGATGAGGAGGATGAGAAGGATGAGGAGGAGGAGGAAAAGGAGGAGGAGGAGGAGGAGGAGGAGGGGGCAGGCAGGCAGTCTGGCGAGGAGGAGGGAGGTAAGGGGGGGAAGCGGGAATGCGGTGGAGGAGAGGAGAGGGGACAGACGAGGAGACGAGGAAGACAACGATCATGGTAACAAAAACACTGTGGAGTGTGGACGAGGAAGGAGGGATCTGTTGGGAATTCGACGCTGGTTAATCTGGGGGCCTGTCGGCAGAGGGGAGGAGGGAGGGGAGGAGCTGGGAAAGGAGCAGAAGGAGGGGGGATGGAGAGGGCAGTGGGGGAAGGAGGTGAGAGATGAAGGGGATGAGACGGAGGAGGACGAGGACGACAACAAGGAGGACGAGGAGGAGAAAGAGGAGGACGTGGAGGATAAATAACAGAGAATGAATAACCACGGGGGGCGGCATAATTGTGCGGAGGGAGGAGGGGGAGTATAATCGGACCTAGGCAAGAAAAAACATTCATCGAGAACATGAGACCCTTCGCTGGCCAAAACGCACAGAACATCCAAGGGTAGCCTCCCCAGGATGCACGCGACAATCCAACAAACGAGAAGAACACTAGGGCATCCTCCCCGAACCGACCTCGATCTTATACCACGGTCCGACTGTACGAGAAGGAGGAGCATGAGAGATGAGAAGAAAAGGATCGTGGGGAGCAGCATAAGAAACACGTGGCGAAGGATAACGGCGATGGAGGAGTGAGGGGAAGGAGGGGACGAGAGGGGGGGGATATGGGGGTGCGGAGGAAAAGGTTGCGTGCAAGCAGTTCAACACTAGCAGCGCCACAAATTCACGCAGCAAATCTTAGACCGATGGTAGAGAGAGAGCGCGTTTCACGGGCACTTGCCTTGGGAACATCCGGCGGCGCGTTTCGAACCGGGGGGTGGCCCTCCCCCAACACTCGGCGCCGTCGATCAAAACCAGGGGGACCCCCTCCCCCCCAACCCCCCCCCCCCTCCCGAACCCCCCCCTCCCCCCCCAAAGGGGGGGGAGGGGGTTTCACCCCCCCCTCCCTTTTCGGCGCCGGCGCTGGCGGCCGCCAGCAGCGCCGACGGAGGGGATGCAGCGACGATGACCAGAGGCAGCCCAAGAGGGGGGCGGGGGTGTTCAAACCTCCCCTCCCCTGGCGCCGGCGCCGACGCTGGCGGCGGCCAGCAGCGCCGGCGCTGGCGCCGGCGACGGCGGGGACGCAGCGACGATTACCACCACTACAACCACCACCACCACCACCGCCTCAACCCACCACCACCACCAACCCACCACACAACCACCACCACCACCACAACCCACCACCACAGCCACCAACACCACAACCACCACCACCACAATTCACCATCACCACCACTACAAAAACCCACCACCACTACACCACCACCATAATCTACCACACCACCACCACCGCCACAACCACCACCACCACAGGCAGCACAACCCACCACCACCACAAACCACCACACCACCACCACCGCCACCACCACTACCACCAGCACCACCTCCACAAACCACCACCACCACCGCAACCAACCAGCATAATCACCACCACCACAACCCACCACCACACCACCACCAAACCACCACCACCACCACCACCACAAGCCACCACCACCACCACCACCACAAACCACCACCACACCACCACCAAACCACCACCACCACCACCACCACCAGCACGCACCGCCACAACCACCACCACCATAACAAACCACCGCACCACCATCACCACAACCACCACCACCACCACCACCGCCACCACCATCACCACCACCACAACCAACCACCACCACCACCACCACCACCACCACCACCACCACCACCACCACCACCACCACCACCACCACCACCACCGTCGTCCTCGTCGACGTTCCCCGCTGCCGCCGCCCGCCGCTGCCGGCGCCGGCGCCGGCCCAGAAAAGGAAATCGTCGTCCCCGGCGGCGCCGCTGCCAGCCGCCGCCGACGCAGGCGCCGGCCCGAGGAGAAGGAGAGGGAGGGGGGGGGAGGGGGGGGTTCGAACCCCCCCCCCGTCCGTCACGGGAAGGGAGGGAAGTGGGAGGGGGGGTTCGAACCCGCCCCCCCCTCCATCCAGGGGGGGCCCCCTCCTCCAAGCAACCACAGAACGCGCTCTTTCCGATGGAGCAGCGCCGTACCAAGCTTACCGACAGGGTCAAACAGCGTACACAACGCAAGTTCAAGCAAGTGGAATACGTAGCCATGAACGACGTGCTCTCACCCCAGGCAACTCTCATGTAGCCCGCTCTCACACAGCCTGCTTACAAGTAGTGCAAGACTTGCAAACGCAATAAGATGATACTTGACCCCGCGAAGCTGCACCAATAATACCTGTGGTGCCACATAGCAGACATTCTAAACATACCTCCACTGGCTGAGTGTATCCACTATCTCCGTATGGTCTCCCAGTCTCACATCCTGCATGCCTACACGCGCAAGGATCTTCCAATATCACAGTTATCGCCTTCGTGCGATGGCGCATTGAGCTCTGTCCGTCCGCATCGAAATTCCATGGTGGCGGGCCGATTCAACACAGGATCGTGCATGGTGACAGACCTGCCCGCTGCGCTCAGCATCGCCTGTGCAGGTAGATGTGGCTCTGCCCGCAAGCTGCCAGGCTTGTTGCAACGGCAATCAAATCCAAAAGATGGAGCGCGACAGCCGAAACGGCGTCATGCGGTGTATCGCCTGTTTCTACACCCCATCAGCCATGAGCCATGAGCGCATGCAGGCGCCAAGCCGCCAGACACTTGGGGGTACACCAACAAATGCCCTCCTGGGAGTCAACAGTGCTGTAGCTGCACGGCCAGCGCGAGATGTCGTCGGCTGCCTGCGCTCGGCAGGCAGACGTCGGAGGGCAAGGTGAGGATGATGGGACGCAGACGATGGTGGTGAGGTGGAACCGCAGGCACATATCCCAGCAAGCCACAGCAAAGCATGCATCACAGAGAGGACGGCGCCCGTCGCACAGGGCTGGGACAGGAGAGGAGACACGGCACAAGGGGGGTGGGAACATGCAGAGGCATGCGCACACGGGCGCCTTTACAGGCTTGCCGTCGGCGCTGGGCATAGGAAGCGAAAGCAGGGAGCCCGATGGCTTTGGGCCGCCCCGGGGCCCCAGAGAGTGCGACCTGCCCGGAGCCAGCGCGCCCCTCCAAGATGCCGACCAGAGCACCTCTAACACGTTGACACACATCCCGCCAGAGCGGGCATGCTGTCTGCGAAGCGCAGGGCACGATGCGGGAGCGACTTGCCAGAAGGGTGGACGCACCAGCAGAGGGACATCAGAGAGGTATGTACCGCCCTCCAGTCACTGGTCCACGTTCGCCCTCCCCTCCCCTTCTCTCGCTTCTGACCGTCGCGTCACCATCCGCATACCTGGCCCAACCCCATCGACCCACCCGCCACAATGGCGCTCCCTCTGTGCAATCATCCTCCCTCCCTTTCCAATCCCTTTTGGTCCCCGTCCCTCTCCTTCCATGTCTCCTTGCGCGCCTTTCCCTCAGCCTTCCGCACCCGTTCTTCTCTTTTGGCTTCCGCACTTCCGTCTTCCGCCTCGCCACCCCCTGCCACTGTCCTTCCCTCGAGGCCCCCACATCCGCCGCCCTCAGGATTCCCCCCAGGATTCCGGAACATTTTCTCGTGGATTCCTCAGAACCCCTCAGGACCCCGTAGAATTCTTTGGGGTTCCGCAGGGTTCCTCTGGATCCCCGCAGGTTCCTTCGGAATCCCTGGCGAGAGACACGGGCGGCACAGACGGACGGCCTCTGCCACCTCCGCCGAGTTGGACGTGTTCGAGATTCCGATGGGCAGCGTCTGGAGCATGCCCAGGCAGTTCTCGCGGCGGCGGGGGGGGCGGGGAGGAGTGCGCGGGCGCGGCCCCGCCGGAGGTGACCCCCCCGTGCCCTGCTGCGTTTCCCCTCCCCCACATCGCCATCTCCCCCGTCCCCCATGCGCTTCCTCCACTCCTCTTCCCTCTCCTTCTCCTCCTCCTCTTCCACCTGGCCGTCCTCCACCATGCTCCGCCAGCCTCCACCTTTCTTCGCTTCCTGCCCTGCTTCTCCTCCTCCTCCTCCTCCTCCGCCTCCTCCGCTTCCTCCGCCGCCTCCTCCTCATTATCATCATCATCATCATCATCATCATCATCATCATCATCATCATCATCATCATCATCATCATCATCATCATCATCATCATCATCATCATCATCATCATCATCATCATCATCATCATCATCATCATCATCATCATCATCATCATCATCATCATCATCATCATCATCATTCTCTAACTCTTTCTCTGCTCGCTCCTCCTCCTCTCCTCCTCCTCATCATCATCATCATCATCATCATCATCATCAACATCATCATCATCATCATCATCATCATCATCATCATCATCATCATCATCATCATCATCATCATCATCCGCATTATCCTCTACGCCCTCCTTCTCCTTTCAATGTGATTCCCTCCTCGTCTTCATCCTCCATATCCTGCTCGCCATCCTCTCCTTTCCCTCGGTCCTCTTTTACCTCTTTCTAGTGCTTTCCTCCCCATAGAATTACCCCTTCGCTTCCTCCTGCTTCACCTCTTCCTTATCTCCTCCCCCTGATCGTCCTCACCCTTTATCCCCAGGACCGAGATTCCTCCTCCTCCTCCTCCTCCTCCTCCTCCTCCTCCTCCTCCTCCTCCTCCTCCTCCTCCTCATTGTCCTCCTTCGCCTACTCCTCCTCCTCATTGTCCTCCTCCTCCTCCTCCTCCTCCTCCTCCTTCCTCCTCCACTTCCTCCTCCTCCTCCTCTCCCTACTCCTCCTCCCTCCTCCTCCTCTCCTCCTCCTCCTCCTCCTCCTCCTCCTCCATCCTTCCTCCATCCTCCATCCTCCATCCTCCTCCTCCTCCTCCTCCTCCTCCTCCTCCTCCTCCTCCTCCTCCTCGCCGCACCCATCAGCGTCATCCCCTTCTACCCTCTGATTCTCCTCCCCCTCCGCCCTTCTGCCCTCCCTGAGACGAGGGCAGGGCGCGCAAGAGCGGGCACGAGCAAGTCCACGGCGATCTCTCCGGGCCAGGCTCCGAGACGCGGGGAACGCCACGGGCGCCCCGCCCTCGCAGGAGCGCCCCGGGAGCTCCCCGAGAGGGGCCCCAGGACTGGTCCATCGGCATCCCCAGGCCGCCCTGCCGGCTCCGATGTTCCCCCCCCCCCTCCCTCCTGCTCCTCCCCCTCCTCCTCCCTCCCACCTCCTCCTCCATCCTCCTCCTCCTCCTCCTCCTCCCCCTCCTCCTCCTCCTCCTCCTCCTCCTCCTATGTTCCCCCCCACCCCCCGCCCTCCTCCTGGAGGTTCCGTGCAGCTCCTGGAGCTGTGTGGCCCCCCTCTGGGGCTTCAGGGGTTCCCAAAGAGCTCCAGGAGGCCTCCAGGAGACCCTCACGTGACCTCCTCAGATCCCCTGGGGACTGCCGGAGACCTGCGCCTCCTCCGAACGCGAGGCCGTACGGTCCTCCTTCTCCCTGCGCCTGCGCGGCAAAAGAGCAGGTGCTGGGACCCACGAAGGCGATGCCACCAACAAACTAACCCTGAGTGAGCGCAGCAGGTGGGAAGACGGCCAACAGGAAACGAAGCATAGTGATTCGACGCGGGGAACCCCACGTGTGCGTCTCGGGTCATTTCGTGGCACTCCCGTCTGCGCGTGTTTCAGTGCGGGCATCTCAAGCTGTGGCGACAAGAGCGTTCCCTGGCGGCTCCAACCAGGAGTGCCCCAATGCCATGCCTGCTACATCTGCATGGCCTTAGGTCGGGCACGTCTTCATACAGGCGGATCTTGGAAGACGAATAAGGAATAGCCAACAAATGATCAAACATAGTCCGCCAAACAAATGTCCAAAAACTATGTTAAACTATGTTTGGATATTTCTCCTGTAGCGGGACACGCCCCACTTGAGCATGGTCTTGGCACTCTGAAAGTGAAGAGGAAGGAGGAGGGTCGGGGGCGCCTGACCCAGCGTTTCGCCCGAGAGGTCCCCCGAACCGGCGCGCGAACCGGCAAAAGTACCCCCCCTCCTGCCATGCCTGCCACATCGCGGTGATCCTGTGGCTCGCCACAGAGGGGAGCCTGGGGGGGGGAAACGAGCCAACCGCCTGAGACATCCCCGCAGTCTGGGCGCGAACGGGCGAGCGCTCCCCCCCCTGGCGGCCTCCCCTTGGGGCGCCCAACATGCTACGCCTGCGATGTTGCGGTGACCGTGAAGCTATCGTTAAGTCGGGCCTGTCCTCCTGCAGGGGAATCTTGATCGACGAATTCAAAATACTCAGGAATTGCCCCCAGAATGGTCAAGAAAACAGTGGAAAAACCGTCCGCGCCGATTATTTTTGACCATTTTTGAGTCTTCCACCTGTGGGGGGGCGGAACGATACGGATACGTGCTGTCCCCGGACCTCTCTTGGGGTGCGTTCTGACCAGAATTTCGAGGCGAATCCAGCGGTGACAACGAGGATTCCCCAGGACGACCAGGAAAGGCCGAAAACGAAGGGGGACAACACGTATCCGTATCTTTTTCTCCCCCGAACCTGTAGAGGGGCACGCCCGACTTGCAGCTATCAAAACTAGACGAGCGCGGGGGGCGACCACAAACAGATCCCTCGAGACAGCCCCCCCGCAGCCCGAGAGCGGCCGGGCGAGCGCCCCCCTCCCTGGCGCGCCTCGGGGTGCCCAGGGGGGCCACGGCTGCCGCGGGATCGGTGGCCGCGACGCTGCCACGAGAGACGAGCTACTCTGTAAGAACGGTTTTTTGAAGGCAGAGCTGCCCTCAAAAAATGGTCTACTCTGTAAGAACGGTTTTTTGAAGGCAGATCTGCCTTCAATGTAAGAACGGTTTTTTGAAGGCAGATCTGCCTTCAAAAAATCTACTCTGTAAGAACGGTTTTTTGAAGGAAGATCTGCCTTCAAAAAACCGTTCTTACAGAGTAGCTCGTCTCTCGTGGCAGTGTCGCGACGCTGCCGCGACGCTGCCGCGAGAGACGAGCGTGTGTTACCAGCCTCGAACGTATCCCTATCCCTACCAACTTGCCGTGGCCCCGGTGCTCCCGCCCAGGAGCTGGGACCGGTCCGCGCGCCTGGAGCTGGCCAGGGTCCTGCTCCTCTGGGCCCGCGCCTCCGCGCGCCGGGCGGCGGCCCTCCGGCTCGGCCTCGCCACCGTGCGCCTGGCGCATCCCCCGCGGGGGTGGGCAGGCCTGGGGGTTCACGCCGAGAGCGCAATTTACCAGCCTCGAACGTATCCCTGTCCCTAAGATTGGCACGCCGAAAGGCGATGACAGTCCTAGGGATTCGCCCTCCAAAAAATAAGGGGATCCCTAAGATTGGCATCGTGATGAGGAGGTGCCCAGCATAGGAATAGGGAGATGTTCCAGGCTGGTAAGTGTGTGGGTGGGGGGGCGAAAACAAGCAGACCTGAGGTCGGGCACGTCCTCCTGCAGGCGGGCTTCGGACGACAGCTAAACCATAGTCAAGGCATGCAGAAACGTGGTCGAACATAGTCAAACATCGTCCCCCGACTATTTGTGGACTGCTTTTGAACCCTCCCCCCTGCAGAGGGACGTGCCCGACAGAAAGCAAACCGCCTGAGACATCCCAGCAGTGCGGGCGGGAGCGGGCGAGCGTCCCCCTCCCTGGCAGCTCCCGCTCGGGCTGCCTGGATGCCACGCCTGCTGTGCCGCGGTGACCGCTGGCGAGGACGAGGGTGAAGGTGAAAGGGCCCGTCGAGCGGGAGAGGCCGCTCCGGCGCGACGCCGGACCGCGGAGCATTCCGCGCACTGGGCATCACTCCACCCTTCGCGTTGGCCGCCCACGCGCCTGCACGGTGTCGCTCGATGCCAAGGTCGCCAGTGCAAACAGTTTTGTGGCACCACCTTCCACCCGAGACGGAGGCCGCGCGCCTGGCCAAGGGCTCTCGAGGAAAACCGACTCGGGGGGGGGCGAAAAAAGGCAGACCGCCTGAGACTTACCCGCGCTCTGGGCGCGAGCGGGCGAGCGTCGTGCGCCTTGGCGGACCCCCTTGGGGTGCCTGTTGACACGCCTCTCGCGTCGCGGTGAGCATAGGGCTCCCAGCAGGGAGGCGCTTGGGAGGGGCCAAACGAGCAAACCGCCTGAGACATCCCCGCAATGTGGGCGCGACCGGGCGAGTGTCACACCCCCTGGCGGCCCCCCTTTGGAGCACCCGAGTGCCACGCCTGCTGTGTCGCGGTGATCGCGGGGCGCTCAAAGGAAACGAGTTTGGGGGGCAGGACCAAGCACACCCTAAACCAGACAACTCAAACAACCTTTTATCGAATATAAATTCAAATAATAAGCCGAAGCAGTCTGGAAGTTTACCCGCACTTCCCGCCCTCCACTTTCCGTAGCAAATAATACCATTCGGCGCGCACGCGCCTCGGGGCGCGCGGCATCTGCGTCACCATCCTCAGTTAAACATGTGGCGCGGCGAACATCGCCATGCGAAGCTAATTCCTAAACTCGCACGATCCTACACCAAAAATGTGGGGCGGGCCACATTCCGCGCGCGCGGCCGAAGGGGGCAAACTCCTTGCCCTTCGCGATCCCTCATTAAAAACGTGGCGCGGGGCACTTCGCCATGCGAAGCTAATTCTTAAACTCGCACGATTCGCTATTAAACATATGACGCGGGCCTCATCCCGCGCGCGCGGCCGAAGTGGGCGAACTCCTTGCCCTTCGCGATGCCCATTGGAAATGCGGCGCGGGGCACATCCCACCCGCGTGGCTATTCCGCGCCCTTCGCGACCGCACACGACGCGCAGCGCGCGGGGCACACCCCGCCCACGCGGCGCCCGCTCGGGGGCGGCGCGCGGCCAGCCTGGCCAGCCCGGGGCAGCCCGGGCCAGCCTGGGGAAACCTTGGCCTGCCTGGTCAGCCGCAGAAGGTGTTGGCCGCCTGGGCAGCCTGGGCAGCCTGGGCCAGCCCGGCCAGCCTGGGACAGCCTCGCCTGCCTGGCTAGCCTGGGTCAGCTTGAAGCAGCCTGGGCAGCCCGTGCCAGCCTGGACAAGCCAGGGGAAGCCTGGGGCAGCCTGGCTCAGGCATGCCCAGGCTGCTGCGTCGACGGTAAGCCTCGCGCGTTGTGTGTACCTGCATATGTAATGGGAATCCTGGGTGGGTGGGTATTAGCACCACGGCAGTTTGACATCGAGTTCAGTTGGTTGCGATATGCTTTCCTTGTTGACCCTAAACCCTAAACGACCTGTATCGAATATAAATTTGAATGATAAGCCGAAGCGGTCTGGAAGTTCACCCGCGCTTCCCGCCCTCCATGTTCCCTAGCAAATGATGCCATTCGGCGCGCACGCGCGCCCTTCGCGACCGCACACGACGCGCACGGCGCGGGGCACACCCCGCCCACGCGGCGTTCGCTCGAGGGCGGCGTGCGGCCAGCCCGGGGCAGCCCGGGCCAGCCTGGGGAAACCTTGGCCCGCCTGGTCAGCCAGAAGGTGTTGGCCGCTTGGGCAGCCTGGGCAGCCTGGGCCAGCCCGGCCAGCCTGGGACAGCCTCGCCAACCTGGCTAGCCTGGGTCAGCTTGGGGCAGCCTGGGCAGCCCGTGCCAGCCTGACCAGCCAGGGGAAGCCTGGGCAGCCTGGGGCAGCCTGGCCCAGGCATGCCCAGGCTGCTGCGTCGACGGTAAGCCTCGCGCGTTATGTGCACCTGCATATGTAATGGGAATCCTGGGTGGGTGGGTATTAGCACCACGGCAGTGTGACATCGAGTTCACTTGGTTGCGAAATGCTTTCCTTGTTGACCCTAAACCCTAAATTCTTAATCCTATAGTTACTAAGCCGTGAACACCGAAAAACGGGCACATACGCTAACATACGACCCCGGCATGTAAACAGGCGCCACCCTATGCAACATATATTATTCCGTGTTCATGCGTGCCTTAAACCCTCGCCATCCCTTGCAACAGATGCTATTTCCTGATCATGCGTGCCGTAAGCCCTCGCAATCCCTTGCCAAAAAAAGCTTTATTTCCTGACGTTCATACACCTACGAGACTATCCTTAACATGGAAGTACTCTTTAGGTACCAGAAAATTCTTTATGGTAGGGTGGTTTGCGGGTGGGACTGGCAGCCACCGCAGGTGGGCTCCTAGGCAGAAGGTGATCAGCTGCGGCAGAGCTTGTAGACCCTAAATCCTTAATCTTATGATTATTAAACCCTGAACATCCTGGCGCCATGCGTCCCTATTTCGATCCGAATTCCTGAGCCCATAATCCATTGCAAAAACAACTATTTCCTGGCAGCCCTGGATGTAAACCGGCGCCATCCCTTGCAACATATGCTATTTCCTGATCACGCGTGCTGTAAACCCTCGCCATCCCTTGCAACAAAGTACTGAACATGCGTGCTGTAAACCCTCGCCATCCTTTGCAAAACATGCGATTTCCTGATCATGCGTGCCGTAAGCCCTCGCCATCCCTTGCAATAAATACTATTTCCTGACGTTCATACACCTATGAGACTTTCCTTAACAAGGAAGTACTCTCTGGGTCCCCGAAAATTCTTTATGGTAGGGTGGTTTGCGGGTGGGACTGGCAGTCGCCGCAGGTGGGCTCCTAGGCAGGAGGGGATCAGCTGCGGCAGGGCTTGTTGACCCTAAACCCTAAACCCTAAGCCGCTGGAGGCGTCCCCACAACAATGTCGGCACACCCCTCACACGTGTCGTGGCCCCACAGGGAGCTCCACCGAGGGCCCCAGTGACAGGATTCGCATGGCGGCACAGGAGGCAAGAAGTTGCCGCGCCTGCCACGCCCTGAGTCTGCAATGGATACGGCACCCAGCCCCAGCGTACCCACTCTGGTGTAGAGAAAAGCTGTCCAGAGCAACTGCCACGTTATGAGACCCTTCGCAACACGGCGCCAAACGGCGAAAACGCCCCCCCCCCCGGCCCCCCCAGGGTCCTCCCAGCCTCCTTCCCGACAGTCCACGCTTGACATCCAGCCCCCCCCCGACAGTCTGCATTCGAGTCGTCTGCCCCCCCCTCCCGGAGCCCCCTCCAACAGAGGGAAGGGCGGTGGGAACTGGCATGGACTGTCGGGGGGGGGGGGGCTCGGGGGCGGCCGCGGTGGCCGTCATGAACTGTCAGAGGCCGCCGGAGGCCCGGCCGTGGGGGGGCCGAGGAGGGCCGTGGGGATTGTCAAGGACTGTCGGGGGGGTGGCCCGGGAGGGGTGCGGGGATCGTCAACGACTGTCGGGGGGAGGGGGAGGGGCCGGCAGGCGACAATGGCCGTTCGAGGGCGGGGGCGGTGGAGGGCCGTCAGAGACTGTCGGGGGGGGCTGGGGGGGAGCGTCAGGACTGTCAAAGACTGTCGGGGGAGGGCCGTTTTTGAAGATGTCTCGAGCGACGCCCCCCCCCCCCCCCCCGGTGTTTCACAGTCCCAGCCCCCCCCTCCGACAGTCTTTGACTGCCCCGCCCGCCCCCCCCCCCTGTCACCCCCAACGGCCGTTGACGCCCCCCTCCTGCCCTGGCCCCCCCCCCCCGACACTCTTTGAAAGTCCCTGCGCCCCCCCCGCCCCCCTGACAGTCCTTGACAGCTCCCCCCCTCCCCCCTCGCCCTCCCCCCACCGGCCCTTGGATGACTCCTCGACCCCGCCCCCCCCCCCGACAGTCCGGGAGGCGGAGAGGGGTGCAGGGGGGTCAAGGGATGGGCGGTGTGGAGGCACGGATTGTCGGGGGGGGGGGGCGGGGGGGGGGGGCCGGGGAGGGAGGGGGGACAGGGGGGGGCGCGAACCGTCGCAGGGGGGCGGGGGGGAGCGCAGGGGGAGTGTCAAAGACTGTCGAGGGGCGCGCGGGGGGGAACAGTACCGTCCACCGCTGTCGGGGGGAGGGGGTGCGCGCCGGTGTCGGCCGCCCGCCAGTTGCGTTTCGAAGCGTTGGGCGGCAGGCCCTCAGAAGAAAGGGCCACGCGTGCCGCGCCCTGCGAGCCTGCAGCGGGCATGGGACCCAACCCCCCGTCGCACCCCCTGTGGTGTCGAGAAATGGCCACGCCTGCCAAGCCATGCGAGCCTGCAACGGATACGCCCCCGCCCCCCCCCCCGCCGCCCAGCGCATCCCCCTGTGATATCAAAAAAGTGCCATGCCTGCCAAGCGTGTGTGTTTGTGTGTGGTGTGTGTGTGTGTCGATGTATGTATGTATGTGTGTAGGTGTGTGTGCGTGTGTCTGGTGTGCGTCTGGTATGTTGTCAGATATGCTGTCAGGTGTGATGTCTGGCATCTGGGCAGCAAGTGTGTTGTCTGTTGTGTCTGAAGTTCGCGTATGTGTATGATGTGTTGTGTGGTGTATATGTATGATGTGTGTATGATGCGTGCTTGCGTTGCGCGGTGTGTGCGTGTGCGTGCGCCTGTGCGTGTGTGCGTGTATATGTGTGTTTTTCTGTGCGTGCGTGCGTGTGTGTGTGTGTGTGTGTGTATGTGTGTGGTGTGTGTGTGTGCCGGTGAGACGGAGAGGGAGGAAGGGAGGTGGCATACGCGGGTGGGAAGAGAACCGACGCTCAACTCAACACGTGGGAAACAAGAACCTCACACTTTGGACATGGGGAAATTAAGCACGCTTAGGCGGGTCCTCCTTGTCTTCCTCCTCCTCCTCCTCCTCCTCCTCCTCCTCCTCCTACTCTCCCTCTTCATCCTAACCATCCTCCTCCAAGAGGGGATCACATCCTCCTCGAACACGACGCCGTACGGCCCGCGCAGCGCGAGAATCACGTCGGAGCCGTCCCATGCGAACTGCATGTCGCTGGCCTGAGCCCCAGGGGTGGGGACGGGACCTTTGCCGTTGTCCTCGCCCCCGTCGTTTTTGTCATTGTCGTCGTCGCCGCAGCCCTCGTCCTCGTCGTTGCCGTTGTCGTCATCGTCGTCGTCGTGTGCGCGGCGCGAAGGCGAGAACCACATGTTGAAAAAGAACCGCCCTCAATCCGTGAACCTTTTTTTTCCGAAATGTTTCAGACGAGTACATAAACGCGGCGCTAAAACAAACGAAACATTGGAAAACCACCCGGAAACCGTGCAGATGTTTAACACATGTGCGCGGCGTCGAAGCGAGAACCGCATTTTGAAAATCACCCGCTCTCAATCCGCGAAGCTCAGGCAGGTTGTTAAGACGATCGGGCGCGGCGCTGAGGCGAGAGCCACAGATTGAAAACCACCCGCCCTCGACCCGTTCACATATTATAAGTTTTGAACACGGAAACCACACTTGGAAAACCACACTGAAGCTGAAGCGGAAACCACACTTGGAAAACCTCTGGCCCTCAATCACTGGAGCTCTGGCCCTCAATCAGTTTGCGCGGCGCCACAATGAAGAACCATAGTTTGCAAACTCCCCGCTATCTATGCGCGAACTGTTGGCGTTCTTTGGTTTCGCGATCAGAAATGGTGGGGAGTCTCTCGCGAAACGCCTGGCCCGCCCGTCCGACTGGCCTCGGGGTGCGACAGGGGGAAATCATGCGTAAGGAAGCGGAGCAAAACAAGAGGAGGAGGAGGAGGAGGAGGAGGAGGAGGAGAAGAAGGTGGAGGAGGAGGAGGGAGAGGAGAGGGATGAGGATGAGGAGGAGGAGGAGGAGCAGGAGGAAGAGGAGGAGGAGGAGGACGAGGAGGAGGTAGGAGTTGGATCGAGGTAGCCAACTCGAACGAGCCAGAAGGTTCCGTCCACTCCCACCCGCCCTCCCACAACATAAGGAGCAAGTGCGTCGCGTGCGACGCCTGTCGCTCATCTTATATCGTGGGCGGCTAGACGTTCAGCGCGCGACATGAGCTGTCTCCTGTTCCTGCCGCGTATTGAGCAACGTCGACGAGAAACAAGACCGCGAGCGATGTATGCCGCGCCCCGCTCGGGCTTCTCATGTTGCATCGTCGGCGACAACATGTCCAGCGCGCGAAGTGCGCCGCGTCTCATTCCAGCCACGCGCGCTGACGGCGAATCGCACTTGTTTGAGGCATTCTGACTTGCCGCCCGCCAAGCTCCTCAACCCGACGGGCCGCAGGGTCGACGACAAGAAAGTCCATGTTGACGAGCAGGCATCCCCGCGCGATGCGCGCCGCGTTCCATTCCAGCTGCGCGATTCGCAGCGCCGACGAAAAGAAAATATAGGTTGGCAAGGAAAACGTCGACATTGTGGTGCTTTTTGGCAGGTAAGACGGGGGGTCCCGCGTGGGGTTGGCCAGGCGTGCGCGCGCGATGAGCGCCGCGTCCCATTCCTGCTACACTCTTCGCAGCGTCGGCGACAAAAAAACATGTTGACGAAAAAAACGTTATTTTTTGGGGTAGGTAGGACGCAACCACCCGCTTAGGGCCCCTCACACAATGTTCATCCCGTCCCATTCCTGCTACACTTTTCGCAACTCGACGACATGTTGGCGAGATGACAGTGAGTTTGAATTGTGTTTTTACAGTTCGGACGGCGGGGTAGCTATCGGCCAGCTAGGAGGGGGTTTGGGTGTGTTTAAGCATAACAAGTAAGGATGAGGGGAATCAAGAAAGGGAGGAGAAAGAAGAGGAGGACGAGGAGAAGGAGGACGAGGAGGAGGAGGAGGACGAGGAGGGGGAGGAGGAGGATGAGGAGCAGGAGGAAGACGAGGAGGAGGACGAGGAGGAAGTAGAGGGAGGTGGAGGAAGGAAGGGGGGAGGAGGCCTCCTCCCTCTCCCTCCCGTCCTTGCATTATCTCTCCTCCTTCGATCGGAAGGATCATCGGCGGAGGAGGGGTGCTGGCCAGGCTGAAGTAAAACGTCAGCTTGTTGGCGGCCAGCGGGCGGTCGTCGCGCCCCATGGCAGCCGCCTGTCCGGGGGTGCGGCGGCCCCTTCCCGTGGCCCTGCCGCTGGGCCGTCGCCGCCGTCGCCGCCGTCGTCGCCGCCGCCGGCGTCGTCGCCGCCGTCGACGTCGTCGTCGTCGTCGTCGGCGTTGTCGTCGTTGTCGTCGTCGTCGTCGTCGTCGGGGACGGCGTCGCCCAAGCCGTCGAGGTCGTCGTCGTCGCCGGCGACCTCTAGCTCTTCCTTCTTCTCATTCTCATGATTACCCCTCTCCTTTTAGTTCGACGTGGCGCAAGGGCCAGGTGCATCTGGGCGTTCGCGTCCTGCTGACCCACCTCTTCCCCCCCTCCTCCTCCTCTTCCTCCTCCTCTTCCTCCTCCTCCTTCTCCATCATCTCCTCCTCTTCCTCCCCCTCCCTCTTCCTCCTCCTCCTCCTCCTCCTCCTCCTCCTCCTCCTCGTGGGCCGCGACGCCACACCAAGGCGCAGCGAACCGATGCGGCACCAGACGCACGCCGAAACTTAACGGAGGGAGGAAGAAGGGAGGAGCAGGACCATAATGTGCTGACACTCACCATGCTGTTGGCCGGATTGGGCCTTATCGCGGGGCCCAGCGAAGCAGCACCCCAAGGGGGAGTCCAAATTCAACGCCGCTCCCCAAAAAAACCTGACAGAATGCTTCCCGGCACTGCCTGCGCCAAGGACACAATGTTTACACTAGGTTCCTGCAGCGGCCCCAAGGGTGGCAAACGTCTGGCTTCAGGCTGGCCGGCCCCACCTTTCAGTACATGCGGCCAGCCCTCTCACCGGCCCAAACCTCGCCTTGAGCAGCTGGGCGCCGAACGTGGTTAGTGATGGGTTGCTTCTGCATCCCGCGGAATCTCCAGAAGAAGCTGTGGTCTGCGGCTGAAGGTTGGCCGGTTCCACCTTGTTGTTGCGTGTTCCTGCGAACAAGTTTCGGGCGACGCTGTCGTCGCCTCCGCGTTGCGGCGAGAAGCGCCGCGAACTCGACGGGGGCGTCGGGTTGCAGCACCGTGCGCCTATCCCAAAAATTGGTGAACGGCGTCTGTTCGCTCGGACGAATCAAGCGCGACGCAATCGTCGCATTCCTTGGCCCACTTGCCCTGCATTGCGTCACCGGCAGCGATTAATGTTTTATTGCCTCCTCCTCCTCGCAGCCCCTCTGGTGGCCCTCGAGGTGGTAGCTCTGCAGGTGGCCATCGTGGCTCTGCGCGTGGCCGAAGAAGTTTTGCATGTAACCCTCGTAACTCTGCCGGATTCTCAATAAGCGGCTCTGCGGCTGAAGCTCGTGGCGGCGCGCTTGGCCTAGGAGGTTCTTCTTGAGACTCTCGAAACTCGGTTACTTGCCCTCGTAGCTAAGCTAGTGGCCCTCGTAGTTGAGCTGGTGGCTCTCGTGGTCCTGCTCGTGGTCCTTGCAATTCAGCTCGTCGCCCTGTTCTCTACAGGAGGCGCTCGTAGCTTTGCTTGTGGCCCTCGTATCTCGGCTGGTGGCCCTCGTAGCTCAGCTGATGTCATCGTAGCCCTGCTTGTGGCCCCTGCGGTTCAGCCCATCGCCCCGTTAGCTCTGCGGGGGGCTCTTGTAGTTCTGCTTGTCGCCAGCGTAACGTAACTCAGGCCGTGGTCCTCGTAGCTCACCGAGTGGCCCCCGAAGCTCCGATGGTACCTCTCGTAGGTCGACTGGTGGCCCTCGAAGCTCTGTTCGCGGCCCTCGTAGCTCAGCTTGTTGCCCATGTAGCTCAGCAGGTGGTCAGGTGGTCTTCGTAGCGGAGCTGGTGGCTCTCGAAGGTCAACTCGTGGCTCTTGCAGTCCAGCTCGACACCCAGGTTGCTCTGCGGGATGCTCTCGTAGTTCTGCCTGTGGCCCGCGTAGCTCAGGTTGTGGGCCTCGTCGCTCAGCGGGTGGCCCTCGTAGCTGAGCGGGTGGCTCTCGTGGCTCTGCTCGTGGCCCTTGCAGTTTAGCTGGTCTCCCTGGTAGCTATGCAGAATGCTCTCGTAGTCCTGCTCGTGGCCCGCGGAGCTCAGGCTGTGACCCTCGTGGCTCACCTTCGTAGCTGTGCTGGTGGCTCTCGTGGCTCTGCGCGTAGTCGTTGCAGTCCAGCTCGTCGTCCTGATGGTTCTTCGGGAGGCCCTCGCGCTCTGCTGGTGGCCAGCGTGGCTCAAGCAGTGACCCTCGTAGCTCGCCCAGTGGCCTCGCAGCTCAGCAAGTGGTCCTCGTAGCTCGGCGGGTGGTCCTCGTAGCCCTGCTCGTGGCTCTCGTAGCTCGGCGCGTGGCCCTGGTAGCTCAAACCGTGGCCCTCGTAGCTCAGCTGGCGGCTATCGTAACACAGCAGGTGGTCCTCGTAGTGAGCGTCCGATCGCGTGGACCCTTTGGGGGATTTCCAAGCGCGCAATACCGCGCAGCACCTCGCAACACCGCGCGCAACGCCGCTCGAAGCCGCGCACTGACGAGCATTGGCAGCACGTGAACGAAGGTTTCCGATGGTCTCCCACAAGCGCGCCGCAACTCCTATCAGTAAGCTCAGCCGCAGTGATCTGGATAGGGAGCATGTCGATGACCGTACTTCATTTTGAAAACAGGGGCCAGGCGATGCAAATGCGTCCACTCTGGGTTTTTGCGATGCGGCTTGCAAGAGCAGTTGTGCAGTGTGGTGCGGTGTTGCGCGGTGTTGTGCGGTGCTGTGCGGCGTTGTTCGGTTGGCGTTGCGCGGTGTTGTGCAGTGTTGTGCAGTGTTGTGCGGCATTGCTCTGCGGTGAGCTGTGACTCACAATTTCCTAGAAAAGGTCCGCACGATCGGACGCGGCATTTCGATGGTGGCCCGCGTAGCCAGTAGGTGCGGCTTGCGATGGCACGACACCTGGCAAGGGACGCCTCGCGCGCCAGCGCGGCCGTCGCGAAAGTGTCGGGCTTCTCCGTGTCGCGCCCTTTCTTCAGGCCGTGCTCCTCGTATTCTTCCTCCTCCTCATCAGCCTATTTGGTTTCCTCCTCGTCTGTCTCCTTCTTCGCTCCCCCGCGGTCCGAGTCGGAGCCGTCGGTTGCCAGGTCGTAGTGATCCGCTTTCCAAGTGGCCACGAGGAGAGAATTAATATAACCTGAGGGGAGATGGGGCCAACGAGGGCCAGTCCCGCTCGTCCTCGCCTGCTTCTTGCCGTCGAAGCTCCGCCAGTGGCCCTCGAGGCTCAGCTGGTGGCCCTCGAGGCTCAGCCTGTTGCTCTTGGGGCTCTGTTTCTTGCCGTCGACGCTCTGCCAGTGGCCGTCGTAGCCCAGCCGGTGGCTCTCGAAGCTCTGCAAAGGTGGCCATGCAAGTGGTCCTCGATGCCGTGCTTCTTGCCGTTCTAGCTCTGCCTCGTGCTGTAGTAGATCTCCCGGTGTCCTTCGAAGTCCAGGTGCCTGCCGGGATAGCTATGCTGGTGGTTCCGATAGCTGTGCGGGTGGTTCCCCAAGCTCTGCCTCCTGCCGTCGTAGCCACGCTGGTGGCCCTACCAGCTGTGTGGGTGGTTCTCACGAAGCTCTGTTCCTTACCGTGGCCGTGCTGGTGGCCGCGGGAGGCCACTAGATTCCCGTGTAGGCGTCTTCGTGCTGCCTGTTACGGTGCTCCCTGTTGCTCAGAACCTGGGTGTCATTCGCATCGTCCGCCAGCGATCCGCGCGGCTCCCGTCCTTTTTGTCTGCCCTCCTCGGCCTTGAACCGCCCTAGAACAATCGGATAATCAGGCCCATCCAAATCGCAGTCGTTTTCGATCAGCTGTAGCGATGGTCGTACCGGTTGCCCTCAATGTCGTCCACACCCAACGTCCATACCCTACTTTGTGCCCTTCCTCGGCCTTGTAGACACCCCTTTCCGGTGCTCTCCTTCAACACTTTTTCCCTTCAAGCACTCGCCGTAATGGTTGTCGTTGTGGCTGTCGTGCTTGGCGTACTGGTTGTCCCTGCCCGTTTTGCTGGCTATACTACTGGCTCTGGTACTGGCTGCCAGCTTGGACGCCTGCAGCGCGGTGCGCCGCCAGCCATGTCGAGCACCTCACAGCGCCAGCGCCGCGCGGCGCGGCGGGCCGCTGTGGGGCCCAACGCGCGCTGCGCCGCGCGCTGGGCCGCCCCGCGATCGAGCAGCACCTGTGTCCACCCGCGGCCGCCTGGGTGCCATCGTGCGCCTGCGGCCTCGCGGGCTGACGCCAGCCCCCGTGGCGCGCGCCCAGCGGGGCCCGGCGCTGGGGGCGAGCGCGGGGGATATAGTTCCCGCGTGCGCCGTTCTTCTTCTTCTTCTTTTTCTTCTTCTTCTTCTTCTTGCTGCTCCTCCTCCTCCTCCTCCTCCTGCTCCTGCTCCTGCTCCTCCTCCTCCTCCTCCTCCTCCTCCTCCTCCTCCTCCTCCTCCTCCTCCTTCTCCTCGTCCTCCACCTACTGCTCCTGCTCCTGCGTTCCTGCTGCTCCTGCTGCTGCTGCTGCTGCTGTTCCTCCTCCTCCTCCTCCTCCTCCTCCTCCTCGTCCTCGTTCTCGTCCTCGTCCTCCTCCTCCTCCTCCTCCTCCTCCTCCTCCTCCTCCTCCTCCTCCTCCTCCGTTAATGAGGGCCTCCCAGAATCTGTGTGTGTGTGTGTCTGTCTGTGTGTGTGTGTGCGTGGCACCTCGCCGCTGTCGGCTGTTGCCCAGTTGGCCTGTTGCCTCGGAGCCCACCTCACTCGCCTCACCCAGCCCGCCGCTCCCCCACTGGGCGTGGCCTTCTCGCGTTCCCCGCCTCCGGCTGGCGTTCGCCGCCTCTTGCCACCTTTCGCCCTCTGGCTCGCCTCGGCTGGCCCTCGCCCCCCTTTTGGCCTCGGCGCCCGCTCGGGTCTGGGTGTTGCTTGCTCCTGCCTCCTCGCCTCGCCGCTGGCCTGGCGCGCCGTGGCGTCGGCCGTCGCCCCGCCTGCGCCCTGGGCCCGCCGCTCCCCCACTTGGCGTGGCTCTGCTCCTTCTCGCCCTGGCCTGCCGCGCCGTTGCGCATCGCTGGGCTGTCTCTCTCCCTTCCGCGCCTGCGCCTCGTAGGTCCTCCTGGCCTCGGCGCTCCCCACCGTGGCCGACGTTCGGGGCGCTCTCCCTTCGGCAGCGGGTCGAGACCCTGCTTTGCCTCTCCTGCTCCTCCCACCGCCGCCCTTCCGCGGGCAGCCCGCTTCCGATTTTGCTCAGTGCTGCTCAGTGCTGCGCGGTGCCGTTGGCAATCATCCACCCCTCCCTGCCCGCGCCTCGTAGGCCCGCAGGTCTCGGCGCATCGGCTTATCCTTGGACCGTGCCTTGGTTCCCTGGGTTGGGGCTCTGCTGCACCGTGCTTCTCCATCCTCTGCTGCAGCTCAGTGCTGCTTCCCCGGCTTCAGCTCTGTTCAGCTCAGTGCAGCTCAGTGCCGACGCTGGTTCCCACTTGCGGCGCCCCCCCCCGCCGCAGTCGGCCGCTCCCTGCTGGCCTTTGCGCCTTCGACCCCCCAGCATGCGCCTCGTAGGCTCGCAGGTCTCGGCGCATTGGCCCATCCCTGGACTGCGCTTTGGTTGTCTGGGTTGGGCTCTGCTTCATTGTGTTTCCCACCACCAGCTGCAGCTCCATGCTGCCCCTCCCAAGGTTCAGCCCAGTGCAGCTCTGTGCCGGCGCTGCTCCCTCCCTCCGGCGCTCCCCCCGTCGCAGCCGGCAGCTCCGAGTGGCCCGGTTTCGTCTCTTCCTGTCGCGCCGGGGCTCCTCCTCCTCTCCCTCCTCCTCCTCCTCCTCCTCCTCCTCCTCCTCCTCCTCCTCCTCCTCCTCGTCCTCCTCCTCCTCCTCCTCCTCCTCCTCCTCCTCCTCATTCCATGGATTGCGGCCTTAATTTGCATACAGCGTGTCCCCTGCTGCCACTCCGCCGTAGCAGTCGCCCTCTGCCCAGCCGCCGACGCAAAAAGTGTGTGTGTGTGTGTGTGTGTGTGTGTGTGTGTGTGTGTGTGTGTGTGTGTGTGTGTGTGTGTGTGTGTGTGTCTGTGCTTGTTTGTGTTTGTGTTTGTGTTTGTGTGTGTGTCGTTGCTTTGGCTTGCGGTATCTCGCCGCCTCTGGGCTATGCTGGCTGACCGGGCCCACATCGGGAGAGGAAAACGAGGAGGCCGATCACGAGCGGCGAACGTATTCATGTCCGCGCCCTCGCGGTCTGCATTCAGGGGCGCGATCCCGCGGATACGCGGTCGCACGGACACGACCCCCGCGGGGCAGCCGCGCGGGGCATCCGCGCAAAAACGCCCACCACCCGCGGGGCCGCGGCACAGGGGGCCCCGCCCGCGAGGCCGCGGACACCGGTGCGCTCTTCGCCCGCGGGGGCGAGGAGGAGCAGGGCCAGGGATGTAGGGAGGAGCACGGGAAGGGAGGCGGGGCAGGTTGCCAGGAGGGGGGCGGCCGAGTGGGGAGCGGGGCGGCTACTCCGCGGCCTCCCCCCTGCCCGCCGCCCGCCCCGCGCGGGGCGGCGTCGCCACCGGGCCGCCTCGTGCCCTCCCCTGGGACGCCTCGCCGTGGCCCCCGCCCCTCGCCCTCCCTCCCCCGCGGCCCCCTCGGCGTCGCGCCGCCCCTCGTCGGCCCTCGCCGCCGCCCGCCGCCCTCGCCGTGCCCCCTCGCCCTCGCCGTCGCCGAGCTGTGCCTCTCGCCGCCCCTCCGCCGCTCGGCTGCCGGCGTCGGCCCCGCCGCCGGTGGCGCGGCCGGCGGGGGGAGGCCTCCCACTCGGGCGCGGACAGCAGCCCCGCGCTGCCAATGGCCCCCAGCAGCTGGGAGGCGGGCACCGTCGCGGCCAGGTCGAGGACCTCGCCGCCGGGCGCCGCGGCTGCTGGAGGTGCCCCCCCCCGTTGGGGGCAAAACATCCACCCCAGTAGTAACCACCCCAACAAGCGCTAAGCCGTTTAGTAAACGCACCCAAAGAAGGAATCGACCAGGCCCGGGGCCGTTTAGCAAACGCCAATTATCGGGTCTGGGTGTTTTTTCTTCCCTTGACCCCTGGCCCGAGGTGTCCCCGAGATCTGGGCGCCGCAACTGTTGCGCGCCGGGCGGCTTTGTCGCCCGCTTCTGGGCCGCAGGGGCCGTCACCACACAGATCGGGGTCGAAGCAGGCCGCGGGCAAACACGAGTCTACAGCCAACCCGCATGATGAGGACGCACGATGAGGATGCAAGGGCCTTGGACAAAACCATGTCGACGCTTTCCGGGCGAGGCGGGGCCGGCGAAAGCGGCCAAGGAGGGGCCGAAGGGGAAGGATGCAAGGGCCCCCCCTGGGAAGCGCGTCCATCTCTGCTATGCGGGCTGACTGTCAGGCTCTGGTGGTGGTTGATCGCGCTGTTGCAGCTCTCCGCGGGGCGTCGGGTCTCAGGCAGGGGGAGGCGGCCCAGGCCGCCGGGGAGGCCCCAGAGGGCCCCCATGGCCGAGACACAACAGGGGGCGCCGAGGCCCTGAGAGGGGCCTGGGGGCCAGCGGCGTCGACGAGGCAGGCGGAGTCGAAAACAAGCTGGTAAGCTTAGGTATACAGTCCGCCTTAGGCGCTTCCATATCCCAGGCTTAGGCTCATAGCGCATGAGCAAGAGAGCGAGACGAAGCATGGGATCTGGAGTAAAGAGTAGGATGGGCATCGTCAATGGAAAAGGATGTTTTCCGATCTCGGATGCAAGTAGTGCGCCTCAGTGAGGCACAGTCACATATCTGGCCGGGCCCGGCTTGAGCCAGGCACGGCAGCGGTACATGCTCGATTTATATCTCGCCTTTAACCTTCTCCGTTTAAAGTCGGAGGGGGAGGAGACGAGCAGGTACCGCACTACTATTATGCGGAAAAACAGTGCTAAGCAGCAGCGGCTGCCTACAAGGAAAGGGGCGCGCGAGTAGCCTCGCTACCGGCGAGTTTCCTCGCTGCTAAAGCGCACCTGCCCGCGGGTTTCCCCGCTGGCTCGGGAGGCAGGGCCGTCCTGAGACGACCTGCCCGCCCTATACGGTGTATGTTTCTTCAGCTCGTGCTTGAAGGATTGCTGGCCGGCCATTACTTGTAGGAGCAACGCGCGGTCAATGCTACCTTTGGTATGACCATCGGCAGTCATATCTCGCGTGTCACACCATTGGACGCTTTCCACGATTCCACGTTCCATCATCTGGCGAATCCAGCTGATGTGCCCAAGCAGAGTGCACTCTGTGGGCTTCTTCAGATCCTTGCTAGACAAAGATTTGAAGACAGACTCGGCATCAATAGTCAGAGTGACTTTGATACATAGACCTCCCATTTCCAATATGTTCTTCAGCTGTGTGGGGGTCAATGGTCCCGAGTGTAGCTCGTGGAGCGTTACAATGGTCGGGTAGCAGTCTTCCAAGTTGTGGGCTGCTGCCAGTGTTTCCGCAGAGTAGCTCGAACGCACTTGCAGTCGATGAGACTTGCAGTATGCGTCCACCAGGTGCACGACGGGTTTCCCCGCTTGCGTGTGGCCACGCCTCAGCAGGTTAGCCCCGCGGATACCATAGCCTTTGACTTCGTCGTCTTCATCTCCGTTGAGACGACGATAGCCAGAATCGCTATGCAGGTCGACTTCTCCTGTTGGAGTCATAGCATGATACACGATCTTCTTCGGACCTGCCTGCAATTTTCTGGTAACCGCGTTTAGTCGTCGTACCTGGATGTTTGTCGGTTCTTGGATACGTTGTAGTGAAACAACATAGACCATTAGCCATACCTGCGTGATCAACGCATAGGCTAGGGCGCCACGAAGACTAACGAACATATCAGAAATTGTCTTCGTCGCCTTGCTTTCAGGATCAGCTCCTGTGAGTTCTGGATGTGTGATAGGACGAAGCTGTTTGATGTATTCGTCCTGATCGAGAGTGACGCTCCCATCATCGGTCTTGTTGTACCGAACAGCACAGTTCGTGTATGTGTGCTTGTTCAGTTTGCACTTCCCAAACGTATCTTCAACACACTTGACATACTTGTCGATAGCCTCTCCCTTCCCAGTCATATTGATGTCATCAACATGCTTGGCTGTCAAGAGGTTTGGACTCATCTCGAATTCTTCGTCGTATGAAGTAGGCTGTAGCCCAAAGCTCCTAGTGATGGACCTGAGCTTCAGCGAGAACGCCCTGGGAGCATCCTTCGTGCCTGTCCCCGGTTTCAGACACCGGAGACAATGCTTTGATTCGTCATATGACTCAAAGCCTGGCAGTGTGCGAAGGACAGCTGCTGACCCAGGTGGTAGTGTGAAACACACCACACGTTCTTTCTCGCCCGTTGCCGCGGCGAGCTCGCCATAGGTCAGTCCCTTCAAGAAAGCCATGTTGATGTCCAGGGAAGCGATGATCCAAGCTTTGTTGCATGCAGCAGAACTTGCGAGCAGTCTCTGGCTTGACCTCCTTGCCGTGCCGGAGAAGGTTTCGACATCAAAGGCTTCGAGGTCCATGAAGCCACGGAGTACCAAGCGTAACCGGATCGTCCTTTCCATTTCGCCCTTTTCGTTCTTGACAAACTTCCATTTGTATACGTAGCGTGACGTCATGATGTTAGACGCCTTGCTTAAGTCAGTCATCTGGAAGCATTTGTTGTCAAGCCAAGTCTTCAGCTCTGTGTAGAGGGCTTTGGAGACTTTGACCGGATTTGCTTGGATGTCGGCCTTCGTGAGTAGATCGTCTTCCTTGACGACCGCGGCACGTTTGGAGGCAGCGCTAACGTATACTCGCATAGTTGTGACGCTGCTGTCATCCAACAGTCGGTGTTGCTGCTCGGACAGGACGACTTTGGACATGTCTGCAGTGAAGCAGAGCTCGATATACTTCCCGTGCTCATCGGAGTCCAGATCATATTTGCTATCCGGTTCCGTGGAGCATAAAGGAACGTAGTAAGAAGTGTCCATGTCGTATCCTGGCGGGTGACCCCGCTCCGGCAAGTGGCCTTGCACATCTTCACAGGTCGTAGAGACTAATACACACTGTGTGTCTGTCATGTATGTAGGAACTGTATGCATGACTTCCTCTGTGTCAGCTTCAAGGAGTGTTCTGTCATCCATCAGTTCAGCATACCACGACTTCAAGACAAAAGCATCCAGATCTTCTTCTGTCTCCTCTATGATGGTCGGAAGCCGACCATCGTTGTCCGTAGGAGGCTCCTCAGGAGCAGCTGCTGGAGGTGATTCGCTTGGTGGTGGACCATCAGCGAGTTCCTCAAACTTAGTGAGATCTTGGTCAAACCCAGCAGACGGCTTCCTGGATTTAAGACACTGGATGATGCGTGAGTGTGTAGATCCTGTGATGTCATAGATGTTCAAGGCAGTGCCATCAGCTTCGTAGTAATGAAACCCAGGGGTCACATCGTTATCATAGTGCACTAGTGTACAGCTGTCTGCATAGGGTGCAGCAGGCAGCTTCGTCAGGCTCTTGGCGAGTCGTACAGCAATAACGTTTTCAATACGAAAGTAATTGCGTATGAGATACTGAAGAGCCAAGTGCACCTTAGGTGAAAGTCGGCTCGCAGCAGTCATCTGCAGCCGACCCTGTTTCGTTGGTAGATATCCGAAAGTCATGGCGGGTTTCCCCGCTGGCAGACCGGCAATAAAGGCCAATACTGTTCGAAGGGCCGTATTGTCCGATCCTATCTCGCGGACCATAAGTGCTTCGATGTACAGTGTGTGTCGTGTGTCAGGATACTGTACTCGTACTTCGCGATTGCCGACCTTCACGATGACCTGGCCTCGGTCAGGTTCGTTGCGGATGACCGGGTATGGACCACTCCATCCACCCCAGTCGTCTTTCGTGGTGGTCGGACGGTGATAGTCCACGAGATCTCCTTCTTTATAGTGAAATTCACCCGTAGCAGTAGTCTTTGTACGGAGAGCCCTGTTCGTCTTGGCAACCGCAGTGGCCTGCGTGATTGCCTCCAGACTAACCCTCCTGATTGTTTCCTCCCTTGAGTGATCTGATGATTCAGTGGGCTGATCATGATCCAAGACAGGGAAATCAGGAAGCATAGCTGGCTGTCTACCATACAGCGCATTGTACGGAGACACTTCATTGTAGAAGGTAAATGCGTTGCTAGCAAACAAGGCTTCATGTAAGAGACGAGTGAAATTGAGAGGGATATGTAATCTATTCAATTCTTCTCCCATCACGTGTAGGAGGTGTCGAAGGATGCCGTTCCTAGCTTCGATAGTTGTAGCGTGTTGGCCACGCGCTCGAATACGAAGCTCTGTTCCCTTAGCCTTAAGGATGGCCTTTGCTGTATCATTATTCAGTGCTCCTTCCCCATCGGAGTATAGAATTTTAGCAGGGCCATGCTGCATCCAAGTCGTATGATAGGCATCGAGAACAGTATGCATAGCTTTATCAGGAATCTCTGTGCCAGCTGCCCAGCGAATACAACGGTCGATGATGTGAAAAACAATATGTTCCTGTTTATAAAAGAAGAGATCACATTCGACTTCTTCGTTGAAACGTCCTGGCAGTGACACGGAAGGCATCACCGTGTTGCCTGGTTTATCCCAGGCTCGACATTCTCTACACGAGTCACAAATGCCTTTGATCAGACTCAAACGGGTTTCACCCAGACCAACCTTGGTTAGAATCATCCGCATTTTTGGCTCCTTGGCATGAAACCATCTCAGGTGGAGTTTGCGGAGTTCTCGCTGCACTACAGCTGGGTCGAAGCTGCGCAGGTTTTGGAGGCTGAGCTGAACGTCGAAGCGAGTCCAATCAGGGAGCCTTGGCCTTGGCCTCGGCTCTGCTTGAGGCTGCGGCGGTGGTGGAGGATCTCCTCCCTCCATGCGTCCGCGCCTTGCTGCAACTTGTGGCA